TCTTTCCCTCATGTACCTCACACTCGTTCCCGCCACGTTCAGGGCAAGCGGCAATCCGCCACACATTCCCAGTATTTCACTCACGGCCTCCTTGCATCTCGCATCTTCCACTTCCCCTCGATTCGCCCCACTCGCGTGCACAAGCATGTCAACTGCTTCTTTCCCTTCTGTCTCTCTCGGCTCGAAAGCGATCCGCTCCCCAAGCTGACGCAGCCCCCTATCCCTCGTGGAGTACATTAGTCTGCTCCTCCTTTCCCCGCTGCCCCCCGCAGTGTCAGCGAGAACAGACAACTTTTGAAGGATATTCGCCTCTATATCATTCACCACCCACACATCATCAATGATGAACAGACACACATGACTACAAAACCACGCTTGTACCTTCGCTAACACCCTTCTAAAATCGCTCTCCTCTCGCATTTTCGCAGCAGTCTGGTTGCCACCGGACGCTTCCACAATCAGGCACAGTTCTTCAATCAGCCCTCCCACGTTTCCGTCTTTCCCCAATGACATGAAGTACACTCCTCCCGAAAACTCCGCCTTAATCTCAACATCATGCGCAATCGCTCGTAGGGCACATGTCTTCCCGACTCCACCCTGTCCCACTGCTGTCGCACCCACTTGCTCGTTCCTATCTCTCCGTAGCACAGCCGCTTTCAGACGCGACTCACACGTGTTCGGCAATCCATCGTTCCCCCGAGAATCAAGCGTCATACATATCGACACAACATTATGTTCGGCTCTTATCGACGGCCTGAACACATCACCCCTTCCTCCCCTGATCGACTCGACGGTCGCGCCTACTTGTTGAACACCATCGTGAAGGCGGTCGGCTTCTTGCTCATCACTTTTCTTTTTCACCCACCGAGATACTCGTTTCACAAGATGTTCCCTTGCATCATGGCCGAATTCATCTTCCAGCAGGTTCGTCGCCCTTTCGTCATTTTCAATCCCAGTGATACCTGCCAGCTCTTGTAGCTCTCTCTTCACAGTAGCCGTGCTCGCTTCGAGCTGTCGTTCCACGCTAAAAAACTTCTCAACTTGAAAAAGATTCTTTCCTTCATCATCCCGGTACCGATTGGGATCCAACTCTCTGCATTCACGGATACTTAGTCTGTAAAACACCGGAATTAATGTCGGTGGCCGCATTCCACTGCTTATCGCTTCTTTTCGTCGGTGCAGGAAGCAACGCAGTTCCCTCATCGTCCATTTTCGAGCCGCAAACTCGGGAGAAAGTATGAAAACACCGACCTTCGCAGACTCCATAGCTTGAGTCATTTCATCCTCTCCGCAGTCTCCGGGCTCCATCGAGGTTTTGTCGAGGAAGCAATTTAAACCATGAGCTTGCAATTTCTCGGAAAGGGGACGTGCGATGAGTAGCTTGTCCGGGCCAGCATGGCTTATGAACACATCGGGAGACTGTATCTTTCGCCGTTTTCTACTTGATCCCGCCTCTTGCTGGAAGCTTTCCTGCATTTTTTTGTGAATAGCTGAAGACAAGTTGGTGAGGTGCGGATTGTGTTAGGAGTGTGTTATGCGTGAGAACGGCAGCGGCTGTTAGAAAAACAGGGACGCGAAGGTTGAAGGCCGCGTTCAGCGCGCGGCACTCTTGTCGTTGTCGACGAAAGCGGAAACAGTGGCGACGGTCGTGTGCGTGCGTGTGGGTAGGGTGAGCTGATGTGCTTTCGCTTGTTCTTTCGTGAATGAATGTTCGTGTGATTCCAGCGAGGAAAGACGCACTAATCGTAAAGCATGAAAAGAATCATGAAACGTTGATTTACGTACTGTTGTTGTTCGGTCGAAGGGGGTTGGTGGTGTTTTCTGGGAAAGTGGGGTGTTGAGTCTCGCCGTAGAGTCCGGTGTGTCCGATCTGTCGACACTCGGCCACCTTCCACGCTTTGATTTCCTCCCCATCCCTTCTAGAAGCATCCACGCATCCGGCCCGGATTTCCCAGACAGTCTGCGCGCGCTTCCCTAAAATTCATATAAAATCTCCCACTACAGTATAACATCTCCCACTACAGTACTGCAAAATGTAATTTTGCACTAAAATTCCCTCACAACTGTGTTGACGTCACACGAAACCAACTTGGAGGAAAGCATAACGTTTACACAGCCATGTTGAGCGCAGGCTCTTGTCTGTAATTTGGCTGTAATTTGGAGAAAGCCAACAGTCCAATGAAATGGCTCTATGACCTCCACCATCGCTCGATGTTTGGCTGATGATGATTTAGGGTACGTACCATTGTAGAATTAATGATTAATCACTATTCTACCGACGACGGCGCAGCGGAGCGGCGCGCACCAGAGTTTGCTCTAGTTGACATAAAGTGGGGTGACCGGGTCACTGTAGACGCGACGAGACCCGAGGGAGGAGGAGACAATTCCCCGGATATCCCTGCTTGCCTTTTATTGCTCTGGTTGACATAAAATTGGGGTAACCGGGTTACTGTAAACCCCCGATCGAGACACCACACGTCTTCCTTCTCCTCTCATCGCAACGCAACCCACTACTGTACAGTACCGACCTATGACCGTGGAAACTTCTCAATACTTTCCTCTCCGACGTACTCCACAGCCTTAACGTCCCGTCTTCACATCCCAAAACAACGTACCCCTTGCTCTCACAGAAAGTTGCGCAGGTAGCTCTCGTCACACTCGGGTTTCTGCAGTCACTTCGGAGGTTGCCCTTCTTGCTTCAAGGTCCCCTGCGCTCTGGCTCTCCGTTTCTAACTCGCCTCCTAATCGAACCGTCTTCGTCTCCTTCTCAGCACATTGCGTGAAAACTGTTACTTCTGCCCCGGACGACCTCAACTGACATCCATACACTTCACCGCTGGAATCCATACCTATTTGATCGTTTCGCGCTCCGTAATATGGCAGAACAATCTGCGCCGCCAACCTTCCATCGGCTCGCGCTACACACCCACTCACAGGCTGCACCCGCGGCCGTGGTGCGTATCTCTCGATTTCCTCCAGCATCTTTCGTACACAACCTGAATCCCGTGCCTTTTGCTTCACTCACCCATACAGCTGAAAGTAAATCCCGGCACTGTTTTCAGCACATAATCGTACACTCAGTCGCGCAGCCCGCATCATTAAAATCATTGCATCCACTGCGTCCTCATCGACCCGTCCTCTCCCCGCCTTCCCGCTTCCTCCTTTACCGTTCAAGTCTCTACTCAATCTCTTTAAAGCTTCTTCGTATTGCCAAACCCCGCCTCTCCTCTCTGTACTACTGTCTTCACCCATCGCGCACTCAAAAATAGTCTCTTCAGCTCGTCTACACACCCACCCTATCCCAGAACACGGTATATGTTTCTCGAAAACGTACTCCTCCTGCGCTCTCGCCCTCTCCCAGAACATACTGGATCGATGTGAGTGGCTTGTGCACTGAAAGGTATGCCCCTAACCCAGGTGTCATACAAGTAGCACGCGTGCGGGAGCACAGCGCGCATGGTGCGATTCACGGTCGCATTACTCAAAACCAGTGCACATCACCGGGAGGCGGGGGAGGCGGGGGACCGTCAAGTTCTGCATCGTTCGTGATGCATTCAGTTTCAATAACAGTACGATAGGTACAAGGTTAAGTTAGGTACAAAGGTTAGTGGACTTCAATGTAGGCCACGAGGTTTGAAATGGACATGAGATTACCCGAAAACCGCAGCTACCATTCCACTCTGAGAAATTTGTCTCTCCGTATCTCTGGGCCTTAAAAGCATACCCCTCTATCGATTTGGAGAATGGTTGACAGTCGTCACATGCGCAGATGGCATCTGGGTATGCTGGACAGTGTGCAATCGTGGACAAAAGCGCATCGTGTCTCGGACAAGAGCAGAAACATTGTACGGCACACTTGGGCACTCCACTGAAGTGGCGCACGAAACATCTCCAAGCGTGGCAACAGTGTTAACTGTTGCATATCGCTATTGCATACGCATTTCTTGGCAACATGTCGTACATATATTTAGTGCTGTATTGGGCGAAAGAGTACTCTGTACCCACTAGCAACAGCGAAGATAGTTTTCGGCGGAAAAACTCCGAAACGTGCAGGTAGTGCTATGAAATGCTGAACAACAAAGGCCAAGGTCGGCCGCACCTATTCCGGACCGAAAGGCGCTTGCACCGCGCTACGCCCGAGAGGCGCAAGCACGAAAAGCCACTGGGCGAGGAGGCTGTGACCTTCCTTCGCGCGGGGGCGGTTGGTGAGGGGGGATAGGGAGTTGGATCGATGTGGGATATAGTAGGTGGTGTGTTGATGTGTTGTGGGGTAGTTCTACCTCAAACTGCGCCTCGCTCCTCAAGGAACTCCTCAAGGAGCGGTATGTTAATATAGGCGTTGGGCAAGGGTAGAGAAGAAGAATGGCTGCTCGGGCTGCGATGTCGCTCGGTGGCAAGATTTGGGCGGTGGGTGACGTTGGGGGGCAATGGAATACACGTGTGAGAGAGGGGGGGGCGAGAAATAACGAAATTGTTGAATTGTTGGCGTCCTGGGTCCTGGGTCCTGGGTCCTGTGGCGGCGTGCCGCATTGCTGCCTTTCAAATGTTGCGGCCACGCGTACTACAAAAGGGGAACGCTGTATGCACTGCACCGTCTTAGCATCGTGCATACGTTATGCGTTGTACATACATACATACATACAGTCCCGTATGCACTGCACCCGCCTGAGCATCGTACTGTACATACGTTATGTGTTGTGCATAGTATGCAGCACTGTATACACACAGTGCCGCCTCCCGTGGCACCCCGCGTAGATATTAGTCTCAATAGGGAGCTTACGCTGCCGTTCATGAGAGAAATATGAGTGAAAAATCGCGCAAAACATTACAGCGCTTTCAGTGCTCACAGAATTCTGGGTCTCGACGTGAGCAGAGAGGCGGAATAGTGACTTGTTGCTCACGACAATTCTGTCTAAATTTCAAGACAAGTGTCTTTACGTTTTGGAGCAATTTGTAGGTACAGTTGCTTTTCTTGGTGCAGGATCGGTACCGGTTAGCAGACCATCAACCGTTCAGTGAGATGGCAGAGGTTTTGGACGTGAACAGCAACGATGATGGATCGCGAGGTGTTAGGAAACGAGGGAAGTATCTCCCGGAGGAGGACCTAATAATCGTTCGTGAAGTGGCCGCTTTACGGGCACATGTCGCTGGTTACGGCAACGTGAAGCAGTCGTTCGAATGTGTAGCTCAAAAGGGTAAATCAGAACCCTCACATGATGCAAAAGGTGAACTGGAAAGCAGTACAAGTTAGATACAAGCGACTACAGGAGGACTTCGACGCGGACGATAGAAGAAACAGCAGTCTGTCCGGGATTGCGGGAGTGGAGATGGGAGATCTTTATCGAGCCCTATCCCAAATGCGAGAAGAGAGAGATACGTTTCTTACCGAGAAGAAAGCCGATAAGAATGAGAAGACCAAGCGAAAAGAAGAGAAGGAGATTATGGGCAGACGCGTTGTCGAAATGGCACTTTGTCGGAACTCGAAGAGAAGCATCTCAGGTGATGAAGGTGAGGCAAGTAGCAGTGGTGGGAGCAGCGGAAGAGGTAATGTGGGTGGGAACCGCGCGAGGAAGAGACGGAAGACGCGCCAGACAGGTATCGCGGACGTTAGTGGAGAGCTCGAGATGTTCGGTGCGCAGTTGAAGGAAACGGATCTGGCCCGGATTCAGCTTGAGGTGGATCAACTGTCCTTCCAGAAGGAAAAGTATGCGAAAGAGCTCGAAGAGCGCGAGAAGGAACGTGAAGAGCGACGGAAAGAGCGTGAGGATGGACAAAAGCTAGAGGTGGAGAAGTTTAAGATTATGTTTGACGTGTTAAGGGACAAGATGGGATGAGGTAAGTTGGAGCTTCTCGTAGTAATGCAGCTTTAATAAACGCTGGAGTTTCCCTGCGGGGCTTTTCCCTTTCGCTCGCCTACTGCTCGCCGGGAATGAACTTTGTTCTTCACTCCTCAAGAAGCCCACCCCTCTCCCGAATGTATTCATCTAACGTGCTTGGGCGAACCTTGAAGTATTCGGATATCTGGTTGGGGTACAGGCAGTTTCGAAAGTTGCACATCAGCATAGTTCCTAGGTAGAGAAGCCCGACCGGTGACTCACACAGCTTCATCTTGCGCTTCGTGTCAATAATCGGAAAATACATTTTGAGTTCCTTGAAAATCCATTCTACCGTAATACGCACTCCCGACATGGAGCTGTTGAAAGCTGTCTGGTGGGTATTGAGCGCACTTCCTTGAAAGGGGACCTCCATAAAGACGCGCCAGTTGTAGCCTGAATCAACGTAAATCTTGTACTGCGTACCATTCACAACCAGAATCTCACCCATGTTAGATTCCAAACCGCTTGCTGCGTAAAGGAACCAGTCATGACGACGACCCTCGGCAGGGCCATACGCGTGCAGTATCATCCCATCGGGCGTGTTGACTGCCTGATACTTTAATGAATGCTTCCTTTTGTGCCCGTTGTATACTACGAGCTGCCGCATGTAGCCTTTAGATCGGGCTACGCCAACCACTGTACCGTCAATAAACCCTACATAATTCTGCATTGCTGCTCCTTTATCACTGATGGCTTGGCTAAAGTCTTGAGCTCTTTTGTCCATGTACTGCTGTGGAACAGGCCCCATCCACAAATGCCCTTGCCCCTGCACAAATGTTTCCATCCCTTCCCAGAATATTTCCGACATCTGGGAGGGATGTTTTCCGAATAGATATGCCAGATCTTCCCAACGGTCGGGCACGGCCATGCGTCTGAGGATTATGCATGTCGCAAGCACCGGATTGACACCATACCTGTTACGAGTAGTGTGATGTTGAGATGAAGGCCACCCTACAATGGGTACTATCTTTATGATGTCTTCAACCCGAAAGCGGAAGTCCTGTAAGGCTTCGCGGTCTCCAAAACGATTGAAGTTGAACCAAAATTTAGTAGTAGAGATACGGTTTGACCTGTCTAACAAAAATTGAACCTGACGTTGTGCTGCAACGTATCGCCACGCGACACAGACAAAAGCGGGCTTTGATGTAAATGCGGAACGTGAGCGGGTGTGTGTGACATGTCGCTTAGCAATAACCGCGAGTGCAGCACGAAAGAGCGACGCTCTTTCTCTGCATTTGGTGAGAGAGTAGTCTTTTTGCCTCATAGTTGTGAAAGGGGTTGACTGTACTACTCCCATGCTGATCTGCGGCGTTTGTTACAACAATACATCATGAGCGAAATAGTGGACAGATTTTTGGTACACGTGTGCATAATATTTGAAAGGATTTTCACAGAATTGTCGTGTAGCGCAAGCTCCCAAATGTACGTCACGCCGCCTTTCGTCATCATCCTCCGCCCTCCGCTCCGCATTCCCTCACCGCCCTCAGAGCCTTCCCGCCCGGGCTAATCCTCCGGCTTTTCCAACGTGCCCTTATCGCCCGCCCGCGCGTCTCCTGCGACCGCCCGCCGCCTTACACTGTCATGCCTCGCACCAGTCGCCTCGTTGCCGCGGGGGAGCGGGGATCGAGATCCGGACCGGGGTCCGGATCAGGTTTGCAACGTGCCTCATGATGGCGCGGCGCGTATGCGGCCGCCCGGCGGGGGTGCGCGATCAACACGCGCGCCCGGCCACCTGGTGGTGTGATGCGGGAGGCGCGGAAGACGGCGTGGATGCGCGGCGTGGAGCGCGAGAACGAGCGGCTGGTGCGGCGGACGAGGGCGCTCGCGGAGAGGGTGCAGGTGGAAGGAGGTTGTCGGATGGCAGAAACTTGGCAGGTCGCTGCTTGTTGCTGGCAACGGTGGCACCAGCACGAAGGAGGTGGGGCAGAAAGGAGGAGGGGAACGGCAGCGAAACAGTGTCTGCACGTCGTGAAGGGTACCCAAGGGTACTGTACATAGAAGGCCAAGTTTATGGTAAACTTGAATTTTATGGTCTCGTTTGCCTTTTTTCTTCTCACACGTGTGCACCTGTGCGACCTGTGCACGTGTATCAATATCCTCTCAACT